CAACAAACCATGACATTTCTCTGTGAAATACCTCATCACTCAGCTAGACATTTGGATTTTGTTTAGCAGAAATTACGGTCTTCTAAGTATCATCAGTCATGAATGTTGGAATTAAAGCACCAGAATAGGAAGGCTCAGTGTGACATCCTTCCTTTGGAAAAGGGAAAAAAGAAATTTAGTTTCTTTTCTATTTTCTCACTTTCCCAAGCAACAGGATAGGGCCTTATTTTATTTCAGTTATGCAATTAGGGAACCTTTGACATGGGAGTCCTTCTTACTGAAGATCAGCAAGCAGTGCACAGGATGTTAACTATGTAAACTGTGTTTGACAACATACAAGGCTTATAATTGACAGCCATGCAAATATACCCTTAAATTCTATCATTTAAATCTCATATAAAATCCTCCGATGATTTACTGGGACGTCCCAGGCCACAATTCTAAATCCATGCAGTACCAATCTTCTCCTGGGCCCAATTGTGTTCTACTTTCATTTCCCCAAATTATCAAGCATATTTGAAGCTAGCATCACAACTAACTTGATCTTCCTCCAGAAGCCAAAGAGCTAGCCTTACAACTCTGTGCCACGCATTCTAGAATTAACCTCCTCTATGTTCTGCTCCTTTGTGGTTTCTGTGGATACAACTATAAGTAGCTACACCAAACCAAGATAGGTCATAAGTAGGAAGTTTTTTCATTCGTGTTCTGTGAATACTGATCAGGACTACCATTGTTGGAGATTCATAGAGTCACATTCTTGGTTGCATCAGGTAAGTAAAGCCTGCCTACCTAAAGGTAATCTTAAGTGCAAAAAACCGATGAGAACCAGGAACTGCATGATGCTTTTAGTATTCAAAGACCTGCTCCCCACAGCAGCCCTTTAACAAAATGTGGAAATAATTTGCCCCACTATCTCAATATGCCTTTCTCTTGTTAGTATATGGATGGCCAAGTTTTCTTCTACTGAAGCTAACTGCAGGAAGTCCCTGTCCACTCACAAATGGTTGTGGTTATCTTGGCTGCCATAGCCATTACTTAAAAAGCTTTTTCATGGATGCTTGTTACTCCTAAAAGGAACCAGAGCATGAAATGCTCAAATTAGATCTTTGCTATTATCACCCATTCTTCTACAGATTTAACAAGGCCTGAGAAGGGGAGAGGGAAACCAGAGCTCCTGACAAGGCAATCAACTACTGTGCCTGATCAAACATATTTCTCAATTATACTATCCCACCGAGCTCTGCCTTAAACTGAATGTTTATTGGGCTTTTGTGAAGTTGTTTTGTAGCTGGGGGCAAGCAGGTAGGTGTCTGCATAGCTAGACTGTGGGTGTGCATGGAATCAAATTTCATATCTGCTCTGACATCCAGAGGAGGGAATGTCTTGTAGAGATCAGAAGTTAGTCACAAGAGGCAAGGATTCCTGCAGGTCATCAGTTTAATTTCTGGTTGATGTCACAGCGAGAATGGCTGGAAAATAGCGAAACTCCGCTGGACTTCGGAAATGCAGCCGGCAACTGCTTGCTGGGAGACTCTAGGGGGTTAAGCTGCCCTTGAAGGGTGGTGAAGAAAGGAGAGGAGCTTCATTGATCAGAAGGAAACTGTAATGTCCTTGTTGATCCAAAAAAAGCTCTCCCGAACGGCACAGGGACAACAGCCATTTTGGTCAGTCACAAGATGACAACCAGGACACTAAGATCTTGTGCTGGAGCGGTGCATGGACAGAGCAGTGAAACTGTGTGAGATAACTTCCAACTGTTACCTTAGAGATTTAACCCAAGTAAAAAGTTCCAAAAAATGATCTCCTGACGTAAAGAAAGCGGCGACTGGATTTATGGAGAAAGATTAAAGACTAAAAACTAAAGAGGAAGATTAAAGACCTAGAAGTAGAAGAAATACCTCAAGGATGATTTAAAACATAGAAAGTCTGGAAAAGCCAAATAACATTGTGAAAAGTGATTATTGGGAGAAATTGCTTTTCTAAACTTTATTTTTAACCCCCGATTGGATAACAATAAGCTGTTTTTGACTTTTACACTGTTAAACGCTAGAATTGGGAAGAGAGCCAGCTACTGGAGGAGGAAGATTACTGCAACGTGTAAAACTTAAAGAAAAGTGAGGGAAATAATTAACACCTAGAAGGCTACTTGACCTTGACTTTATCTTAGTAGGTGATTTGGATGCTGGGAAATATTCACTGAGCTTTTTGAAGATCTATAAGACAAATTAAACTAAACACTAATAACTTTATTGGAACTGTGCATTGAAAAGTAGAAACCTGGTGGGCAAAGCTGGATTTGGATTATTAACATCACGAGACAGGTCATCCTACAAAGCAAAAGAAGAAATATGACGGGGGGAGAGAAAAGATAAATAAGACTTTAAAATCTGGACAATTGCAAAGGTGTAAACTAGAAATTATAAAGACTGAAAACACACAAATCTATAGCGCTTAAAGGCTAGAAATTTAGGAGACTTGGAGGAATAATTTTGGGGTTGACCAAATTTTATTAACAATTTTTTTCTAGAATTTTTAGATATTGGGATACTGGAATATTAGAGTTATATTAACTTGGTACAAAATGGCCCAGCAGGAGACAACAAAGTTCTATGAGGAAATGTTAGAAATGGCGACAAAGAATTATAAGGAGTTGATGGGAATATTTAAAAATAAATAGAAGGCCCTCAACAAAACATGGGAAAAGATGAATGTAATACACAGAAGGCAGATGAGAAGTTAGAAGTGGTAGAGGAGACAAAGAAAAATAAACTACAAGAAGATAAAAATAAGTTACAAGCAAAGAAAAACACTGAAAAGACAGTAACAGTAAATATTTAAAAGCAAACAGATAATCCCTTAAGAGCTTACAACAGAATAGAGGAAAACAAAGGAAGATTTTCCAAAAATAATGAAAGGGTTATAGATGGATATACATAAGATGCAGCAGAAGAAAATGAAGAGTAAGGCAGAGGGATCAATTAGTCTGTGCAAAAATGCTAGAAAGATATATAGGATTCCAAGAGAAATATAAAAGAATCACCCAAAAATTAATAAATGAAATTCTAATAAGGCTAAGATGATGGATAGAGACCCAACACCTTGCAATATAGTAATTATATTAAAATCCAATAGAAATAAAAGTACAGTTTAAACTGGGAAAATAGTAGCACATATATAGATATATAATAGAATTTATTTTAATCATAAATATATTAAGATTAGGAGGTGGAAGACTAGGATTAGATATATCTAAATGTATTATGATTAACAGAGTGCAAAAATATACTGAAATATGTAGTTTTCAAGGACTATAAATACAGGGTACTTAGAGACATAACTGGGGACTGATTAAATCTTATTAATTGCTTTTATTGGTGTTTATAGGAAATTAAGATACTAAAACTGTGATGGAACTGAGATATATTTATATTATTGATGTTTACATATATTTTTGGAGAAAGTAATAAAAAATCAAAGAGAGAATAGTATTGTTTGAAGATAATGAGATGAATATAGAAGAACCCCAACAAACGGGAAAAATAAAGAAATAAGTACAAATGGGGAAACAGTATAATATATACTGATACATAAAAGATTATAATTATAATGAGCATATCAAAGTTAGAAATTAGAAGATAAAACTCTGTATATGTAATTGTATTATTACTGTCAGCATTGTATATGAAAAATATATTAACCCAGTCATTTCATTGTCCACAAAAAATGTTGGTTGTTAAAGGAAAACTACAAATAAAACATCTACAAAAAGAATCTTCAACAGCCACTAGTCAAAAACAGGCTGACTGGAACAGATAGGACAGTGCAAATTCTATGATCAAAATGAGACAGTCAAAACCTAGCCAGGTGGATAGCGAGCCAAGTCCTCAAAGATTGTAAAATGGGTGCGCTCTATTTTGAGCTTATCAGATTAGGTTTTGAGTGAGCCAGTTCCAAAGAGATTCATAATCCAAAATGCACTTTTATAGGACACAGTATTAGGGATATATGTGTAAGGCTTAAGACAGCTATTTTGTTCAGAATTCTCTTAAACCTACCCCGCCTCAACCCTCTGGGCCTCACCTAGTCAGGGGATTGCAAGTCGGGCACACATAACCCATAGGCTGCATTTTTCACCGTTGTTTTCTGTACACTGAAAACCAGGAAGTCAACAATGGCTGTTCTCCCTCGATTACCAGCCATCTAATCAATGCCTACCTCTAACCAACCAATCGGACATATAAGATGGGTGGGGAAAAAAAGTCAAGAATCATCATTTCCTTAGCTTTAAGGAATGTTTACATTTGTCATTATATCAAGTTCCACAGAAAGTAAAAGTTAGATGTTATCTTCTTATAACAATGTGCAAATGGGACTCTATTGCCTGAAGTGGGGGGAGATGGTTCCAGCTTCTGCATATGCTGTCGTTAACTTCTATGGCAGAGCAATAGCATTAGTAAGAAAAAGAATGCCTCCTGAACTGTTCGAAAGCTGCTCTTGTCTTTGCCTGCAGTGTTCATGCGGGCTAGGTAGCTTAATTGATTCTCTCAGTGTAATGCATCGATCCTTACTCATTTCTCCAAGCCACATCATTTGCCTTATCTGTTTCTTAGCTTATAAAACCACAGTGCTTCCAACCTCTTCCGAGTCAGAAACAGTCAAAGAATATTTTAAAGAAGAAAATTCTTAGTCTTCGTGTTTGGAGAAGAAGACTTTAAATGGTTAGGAGTGTTTTTACAGAGGATTTGATTATGCAGTCAGTTATAATATCCAATCCTGAAGACAGAACTTGAAACTACTTTATGGTGGAAATGTACCCTTTAGAATCAATAGAGATATTTACAACTTACTATAACCATCTAAGGAAGGAAATCACCCTGGATTTAAAATGAGATTAATGCATTCCCTCCCATCTGTCACACGATCTTAAAAAATATTAGCAGCTCTTTCATTCTGTAACCCCAAAGTAGCCTTGCTCCCACAAATCAAAGAGAGCCGCATTATTTTCTTTCAATAATCTTTATTTGCCTCCACCCTTTATCGCCCTCCTCCCCCAGCACTGCCTCCATTGCCCCCTCCTTGCCCGCCTGCATCAGGAGCTCCAGACATCATAAGAAAAAGTACGATAGGAATAATGTACATCCACTGTAGGAGAAAAAGAAATATATACATGTTATATTAAATATATATTATATTAGAAACATATGGCTTCGTTATGTGTAATAATCCATCTCACTCTTTTCCATCTTGGAAGCGACCATGGTTTCTCACAAAGCCCAATCTTCCCCCTTACCTGTACTCTCCAGGTTCTATTGTCGCTCTCATCCCCTCCCTGCATCCTATTGCTGCCCCTCCCTCAAATCCCAAACACAAGAAACCCTTCACCAGATTTACAGTTGAGTTTATCGGTGTGCAACCAAGGAGGAAGAAGTGTCTGTGTCTAGTATGAAGGAGAAAGGGCCTGCCACCAAAAAGGGGGTGTATTGTATCAGGAAATAAAAGATCCAGAGAGTAGCAAACTGAAAATTAAGGAGCATGCCCCTAAAAGGCACCCTGCTTACTCTGAATGTTCTCACCAATTAGCAGCAGAGGACGAGTCCAAGCTATCACAGAGCAAGGAAACATTAAAGTAACTTCAAGAAAGCCAGCTATTGAGCAACCTAATTTGCGGGGTTATTCTAATAATTCATTGATCAAAGGAGGAAAAAAAAAAGATAAATGCTACCCTCTGGACCAGTGAACACTAAGGTAACACCTGGGTGAGGCTGCAGCCACCTTACATATACACACTCCCCTCCCCAGTATCAAGACTGGCTCCAAAAGAAGCGTAGCCTTTTTATTCTCCGAGGTGACACAGGGCAGTAATGAAAGAGTTCGAGCTAAGCGGAGCCAAGCAAAGAAAACAGAAGTGAGTTGAGCCAGTTGCGGGATTACTTTTGCTCAGGGCCGTCGTCTCAACTTCTTAGGGAATGTTGCACAGATGGTCACTGGGAGAAGCAATACTCCACCCAGAACTGAATTCCACTGCAGGAATTGCGGATAAGAAATATCAGAGCAGAAAGCAGTCATTTCTCAGCAACAGTTGCCTGGCTAGATCCAGAAATGAGACAGCAGGCAGGCTGAGGAACTGAGAACATTGCGCTACAAGAGTGCAAAAAAGAACGGAGCCTCCTCTTTCTACCATCCCTTCCCCCATCCCCCCCACCCCACCCCCAAATATAACACTTACATATTTTGCAAAGAAGGACTTCTGCTCCTGTGGATTTTTGGCTTTCTGAGCCTGCTCTTGTTCCAAGCGTTCAATAAATGCTGCTGTTTCAGGGCTGGCAGTAGAAAGAGGAGGAAAAAAAAAACAACGATTAGTAACAAAACTAGAAAGCATCCCTCAGTACTCACAGGGGGCTGCAGAAGCCCAGACAGGCGTTAAAAAGGTAAATGGAATGTTTGGGCCCCAATGTATTTCAACAGTGTTTCCTGTGTAAAGAAGCATTAACACACCACAATCCACAAGTGTTCTGCTGTTTCTTTCACTAGAATAGCCAATGAAATAAGAAAGATATGTTGAAATTCACTGGATCCATCTTATAAAATTCCCCATTTTCAAAACTCTGCTCCCTTCCTTTCCCCTAACTGGAAACATGATTCTGTCCTTTCTTCTTCCTGCTCTCAGAATTTCCACTCACTCGAAAAGGCAGACCGGTGAATATCTCTGATGTTCAGTGCAAACCTAAACCTGTATAGAAATAAACTTAACAGACTTCAACAAAACCTACCTTTCCAATTTGCATGTTTAAAATCAGAGACAAGTCTCTAGATTCACTCTTCTCTGCAAATAAATCACCTAGAAATCTTTCTGCCAATCTGTCCAGATGAGATCCTTGCCTTTTAGCCAAGCTTCTTCATCCCATTTTGGTGAAGAAGACTGGTCACTTTCCTTATATTCCATTGAGGAATCCTGCTCTTAATTCAATCTCTACTTCCCAGAAATCTTTTATAATCTAACTTTAGATTCCTTCTACTAGGTATCCAGGTTATCTGACCTTCTAGTTAGAAACCATTTGCTCCATCTTTCAAATTCTTAAAATAATCAAATGAAGGAAACCAAGTCAAACTTTCTATATTCCCAGGGAGCAATCATGTCCTAAATAAAAGCTATTTAGTAGCGTATCTCCCTTCCAAAATCCCTGGTGGTTCCATTCATGATTAAAAGCCACACTTATGGCAGATTTGCCCAATCTCATTTTAAACTAGCTGCTGTTAATACATCTTGCAGCAGCTAGTTCCACAGATTAGCAGAAGCCCTGCATTCTCACCCGATTAGTCAAAAAAATACTCACACAGCTGCTGGTATGGGCTGCTGGAGGAGAATGGTAGTATTGAAGAGTTCCAGATCCACATCTTCCACTTCAGCTCCATGGCAAGAGCTAGGAACAGCAACAGCAGAGAGGCCAATTATGTTGCCAGCTATGTCTGTGTGTACTATCAGCCTATCTGACAGGTGAGACTCAACCAATGAGCACTGCAAGGAAAGGAAGACACATCGATATTGTCTCTCTGCCTGTTTTAGCATTTCCAACTCAGTGCACATAAGCTGTTGCGCATGCTACTGCAAAAGCTCAGTCCTGTAAAGTTAACAAGGAAGTTACTGGGATAATGAATGAATGGGGCCACGCAAGCACTTCAGGGGTGACTTTTTCTTGAATTTGGCCTTCCTATCTTTCACATCAGCCTGTGTTTCAATAACAGCACATATGACATCTCCAGCAAAAAAAAAAAAAAAAATCCCAGGCCACAACTTCTCAGGCAAAGAGTTTAATCTCAGAACCTGAGATTCTGCAGTGCTGCTTTCCCTCTCAGGAGGCACCAGTGTTGGACCAGATAGAAAGGTGTTTTAAACGAAGAATACAATGCTTATTCTTATATTTATATCTTGATATTCCTTTAAGTAAAACTAGTAATTTCTTAAGCCTTATTTCTGCAAACCTGCACTGCCAAAATGTTTTTTTTTCATATTTGTGGAAAAAACCCACAAAAAACCCCACAATTCTCACACTAAAAAGGTCAAACATTTAACTTTGGCCATTCTTGTAATATCACTGAATTACTACTTATCTCTCCTTTGGCCTCAAAGCTGGCTTTCTTTCTGAAAAGTGCACTCTCAGACTGCCAAAAAACAAACAAACAAACCTTGACTGTGATCCAAGTACACAAGATATGAGGAAGACAGAGTGACTGGCTCAGAACCTGAATCTCCCCAGTCACAATCCACCATCATACTGTCTTCCTATCAATCAGCATATAGTTGATCTTAGCTGGCAAAAAAATAAGGTCTAGTTTTTATTATTTAGAAATCTCTAGGGACAGGGAAGAAAATAAAATCTCAGAAGGCAGTGGAATACTATTTCTGCATTGCTGCCAAATAAAGATGCACGATTTTGCCAACGTATCCCCAGAAATTAAGCTAAAATCAATTGGAAGGGGGTTATTCTATTATCTCTTCCCTCAATAATCTCAGAACAGCCTCATCAGGATTAGGAAGATGATTTCCTGATTAATACAGGATGTGACACAGGAGACTACTTAGGGCGGGGAATCCAACTCCCAAGACCATGCTTTGTTACTTATCCCTCTCAAACAACCAAGAAAAAAAGAGCAGTTTCCTCTTCCTACCTTTGGAGATATTGCATCTGGATATCTTACTAGAGTCAAGCTCAACTCACAAGAGTGTGTAGGAATCAAAAAAAATTTTTAGCTGCTTTCAGTCTAGTAATGTGCAAGTGTCTCAGTAAGATACCGTTTGAACCTGTTGCAAAGGTACTTTCTTGGTATTCTGGGTCCAAAATAGTTAGAATAGCATATTTGGGGCTTGGCACATTCTATGCTGGAGCATTTTCCATGCCTCTGTTCAGGCAAGTGTCCTGTATGGTACAAGAATTCCACAGCAGTGAAGACACTTACCGCTCTAACAAAAGTGGTGACATACTCAACAGCTTTCTCTTCAATGCTCCCCAGGGGCTGTCGTGGGATTCTTAAACGGTACAGTCCACCCCCAGTAGCTACCTCCTGAGTTTGTCAAAAAAAGAGGACACAGTCATTGAAAGCAGAAACTCACTACCTCATCCTATTTGAAGGAGATAGAAATTACACTTTGGTGATCTCAAAATAGCATTAGTCTTTCATGCAGGAAAGCAATCAAATACAAGACCCTTATGTGCTGCTCAAAGTATATCAAATAAATCTTTCATCCTTTCAGAAAGAAGCTATTTCTCTTCCAAAGTGCCCCCATTCTAATATGTTTTTTCTTTAAAAAAGTAAAATAAAGCTTCTCTCCCTTGGCTTCCCCGCTCACCCTAAGTTTGTTGCGCTCATCTTCAGTTAACTGCTTCTGGGTCAGGGAGAGACTAGGTTCAGGACCCACATTCCACAGGATTGTACCCCGTTTTTTGAAATGAATACTATCATCTTCAGGAAAAAGAAACACAAGTTAGTCTTAAAGAGTCCTAATCTTATTACTCTTAGATAAATGACCTTTAGCCACTTTTAGGAGTTGGTGTCTCTCCAAAGTCCTCCCCTATTTTTTAGATTGCCAAGAATTGCCAATGCAATTCTTTTCCTCTTTAGCATATACAGAATGTGTTAATACAATAAGAACAGAAATGAGCATCCCATGGGCCCCAACCTGCTCAAAGGTGGGTGTGGGTTTTTTTTTTTTTGTTTGCTGCCTATCAATTAACACACAAGGTTAAATTTCCACAAGAATTTCCACATGAATGTATAGATTTTTAAGATATTTAAAGCATCTATTTTGCTCTTTAAGGACATTCTAAGAAGGAAAACCCAGGATCTATTTTCTAAGTTTCACAGGATTTTCGCATGTGTCTTAATCCTTCCCAATGTAAATTAACAATGACAACCCTCAGTTTAGGAATAATTTGAAGGTAGTAAACCAGGCCTAGGAGAGGTACTTACTACTCAAAGACTGCCTACCTCTGCATATTTGAAATGGAGAAGTCTATGGTTCCAAGGTTCCCACAGTGTCTTAATATATATATATTTGTATGCATAAATGCCCTATGAAAAGTGGAAACTAATGTGACTATGAAATGGGCCTAATTACTACTACTTACCAATAGTGTGGGCAAATTGTCCAGTTCAATCTTGACCATGCTCACAAAATACTCACCCAACTCAAATGAATGCTCCAGCTGCAGATTCAATCCACAAGTTTCAGAATCTCGGGCTTCACCAGACTGAAAGCAACAGAAGTAGATCATGAATGTTACAAAGCTCCTATAAATTGTTCCAAGATTCAGTGACCCAAATTCTGCCCTATGTGTGCTAATGTTCCATCCCACATAATAGTAAAACTTTTCTGCCCATAATTTAAAATAGTATTTTAAGTTTTGGTAATTGTACTGCCACCACCTGTAAAGAGACCAGATTTATAGCATTAAATATGACCAACAAAACTACGATGCATTCCAGTCTACGATATTTATTATGGAACAAGTTTTTATAACTAGAACCTATATAATCAAATAAGTTAGACTAGGCACAGGCAAAATTAGAAATGACTCAAATTCACATAGTCTTTTGACTGAATTGTTGCATAAAATATCTCTCAATATTTTGAGAAGCTCCTTTTTGTTACCCAAAACTGTGAAATTGTTAAAAGAATACAAGGAAATAATGCATGTGTAGGAGGACATAGTTTTTCAAGCAGATAAGGAAGTTTCCAGTTCAACTAGTGAATTAGCTGACAAATTCTCCAGATGGAAATCCTGGAGAATTGTCTCAGGTTATTGGCTATAACTCTGAGCTAGATATTATGTGCCATCAAGATTGGTTATCCATAGATATCCTCAATCCTTAGCGTGGTCTTTCAGATCTCCCAATGCTAAGCTGGATATATCAACAATGATTTAGAATAAGGCAGCTATCCATCAACTTCTAAATCCCAGGAAACCTTAATTAAAATGTTTTAAGATCATAGAGACTCAGGATTCAGTCCATCCATAGTTATGAAAATTCAGTGATAATTTTGGGCTTGTCATTCTCTCAGTTCAACCTGGCCTCACAGTGGTGGTTGTAGGGGTAAAATGAAGATCCCCATCTTGAGCTCTCAAAGAAAGCCACTGTACATACAATAAGTGTGTCCATTATTTTATGCCCAGATGGCATTTAAGTCCCAGCCTCTTTAGTTATCTCTTACACAATTGCTAAGCTACTTCCTTCCCCAAATCAGAATACATTGATGAATCCTGATTTAGTCCTAAAGTTATTACTCAGTTTATGAATGCTAATGGCAGAGCTCATGAAGCTGTGTCTATTAAATGAAAACACAGCCACAAAGAACGTTTTGTGAAGATCATATATACATTTCAACTCTCATAACTCCAGATCCCAATCCATTTAATGAAACTGCATGTTAGGAGATTCAAGACAGGCATCACTAAGTTTAACTATGGAACTCACTGCCACAAGATGCAAATCGACCCACAAGCTGAAATAGTACTGGTGGAGGGGGGGGAACTATTTGCAACCATTAATTATGGTTAAATGAAGCATCCAGACTAAGAAGCAGCATTCCTATGAGCATTTTTTTTACAATTCCTTAAGCATTTATGAAAATACCAGTTTGGCGTTTGGTCCGGTCTAGCAAGGCTTATATCCTGGATATAAAAGAGCTTGTCAGCTCTGCACTCAACCATGTTATCGTGGGACTTACCTTGACACCTGCCTCTCCCCGGCAGGCGGCAGAGGCCCGGACAAGAACCTGCGGCGAGGAGGAAAGGAGGGTGAGGACAAGGAAGAGGCAGACGCACGGCAGTCGTTCGAAGGCCGCCATAGCGCCCTCCATGGATCACGTGATTTGAAGAAAAGAGAGGGGGAGAGAGAGGGGGGGAAGAGCAACCGCAAAGCATTATGGGGCTGAAGTGCCGCGTTCAAGAGCCGAGCGAAAACCAATCACCGGCGTCTTGCGGTGTAGTCGCTCTCCGCTCGCGTCGCACGTGGTGGTGGCTTGTCTCGCAGCTGCAATCGCGGAGAAGAAATGATGACGTAGGGGGCCGAACTCGAGTGATGGGGAAGAAATTGCACAAGAAAATATGGTGCCGAATGAATTTGCTTGCGCCTCATTCTTTAGTCTCTTACAGAACGGTCGACCATTGTCTCCTCAATTTTTGAAGGCGATGAAAGGATGAAATGACAATCTGCAGTTTTTCTAGATCTAAGTCAGAAAAAGAGAAGATTATCTTGGATGACCTGTCATCCTTAGCATAATGGATGCTACAACTATTGCAAAAGGAAGTAAAATATAATGGATGCCCCCAAGTAGAGCATCGTTTGTATCAAGAGATGGGGACCGAACGAATTGCTGTATCTCTGCTTTTTTATATCCTCACTTTTCTTTAGCTGTGCTAGAGTCTCCTGCTGTGTTCCCTTAGTAAATAGAATAGCCATCAAAATAAATTTTGTACTGTTTGCAATCCTGTGTGCGTGCAAGAAAAAAACAAGTTATCTATCCCACTTCCTAAGCAATGGTGGCAGCTGCTCTTCGTTATAACGCTGTTCAACTATTTACAAAGTGTACACTACTATTACTGTTAATCTTCTCACCACTCTTTAACACCTATCCCCTCCCACTTGACTGTTTCCTAGTATGATTTGATTGATGATTGTACCCTATAACTATCATTAAGTGTTGTACGTCATGATTCTTAACAAATGTACCTTTTCTTTATGTATACTGAGAGTATTTACACCAAGACAAATTCCTTGTGTGTCCAAACACACTTGGCCAATAAAGTATTCTATATAGTCACAAAACAGTCTGGTTATGCTGAGATATTGGAGATTGGTTGAAAGTCTCCAGTTTAGCAAGAATCCAAAGTTTTAACTTGATATAAGAAATATTCTGGTTGTGATGACTTTTCCCACATTTGTAATTCATACAAAGATGCCTTCCCCCACCGCTCCCTTTTTTCAAGAGGAGAATTCAACAAAAAAAAAACCAATGTTTTTAGGGAATTGCATCATTAATTTTTTTGCTTTGTTTTACTGTCACTGCTGCTCAAATATAACTGGAAAAGAGTCAAATTCAATTTTTCTTCCCTTAGAATATGGAATTAATTATTTAATTGAGAGGTTGCCAAGTATTCAATCTTTTCCCCTAGGCTCTGCATTCAAGTTATTGTTTGCTGTATCTTGTATTGACAAAACTGCACTGTAACATGAACAAAGGTTGAGGTGAATTTAAGAAACAAGTCAAAGTTGTCCTGTTGTGACCTAGATCAAATCAAGCTATGGCTGAATTCAAACAATATCCCAAGGTACAACTAAGGGTCCTTCATGCTTTCTGAGCTGGATTGTTTATTTGTTTTTCCCTTTACTAAAAGCAGAGGTGTCAAACTCAATTTCATTAAGGGTCACATCAGGGTTGTGTTTCACCTTGGGAGTCAGGGGCGCATGATCAGGGGGGCCATGGCCAGCTTGACATCACTTGTGTCGGGGGTGCCTATGGTGGCCTGAGTGCTCTGCCAGCAAAAATGGGCTCGCAATCTCTGTTTTCGGCTACAACAGCCTGCAGCCCTCTGCCAGCGAAAATGGAGCTTGTATGGGCCACACATGCCCCCTGGGCCCCATTTTCAACCATGATGGCCTCCTGCAGTCCTCTGCCAATGAAAATGGAGCTCAGTTTTTGCTGGCAGAGGCCTGCAGGAAGCTGTTGCAGCAGAAAACAGGCCTTGGGAGAGCCGCGTGCAACCCTCCCTAGCTCCCATTTTTGCTGGTAGAGACACCGTGGGCTGGTTCTTCGCTGTTTCTGGGGCAGCCCCATAGGCCAGATCTAAGCACTCTGTGGACTGAATCCGGACCTGGGCATTGTGTTTGATAGCCCTGACCCAGAGCCATAGTGGTGCAGTGGTTAGAATGCAGTATTGCAGGGTAATTCTACTGATCATTGACTGCCAGCATTTTGGCAGTTTGAGTCTCATTGGCTCAAGATTGCCTCAGCCTTCCATCCTTCCAAAGTTGTTAAAATGAAGACCCAGATTGTTTGAGGCAGTATGCTGATTCTGTAACCATTTAGAGAAGGCTATAAAGCACTGTGAAGCAATATATAAGTGCTATTGCTAATCCTGCAGAATAAGTGAAAGGTGGGGTTTGCGCTCAATTAGTATTCCAGTGTCAGTGTTAGCGGGAGTGATCTTGGAGGTTCTTTGGTTGGGCGATTTACTGTTGGCTTGTTTGGCAATTCCTTGATTGGGGTGTTTACTTCTTGATTGTTAGTCTGATGTTAATGTTAATCTATGCTCATCAGATTGTTGATTGCTAGGGGGGAGATGTTTTGATCTTTTTGTTCCCTTTTTGGCTTGTTGAGTGTCTTTTGCACAATATATAGATGTTGTTTAATGTCTATGTGTCTAATGGTGGCCAAATTGTTAGAATTAGTCTAGCATTTTGGACTTGGTTTGGTTGAAGATGATCAGTTTCCCAGCTGAAATCATAATTAAATCTGTCTAAAAAATTGTGAAATTAGAATTTTCATCATGCCTCCTGACTGCTAGTTGGTATTCCTGGATGTGTTCTGCAGTGATAGGATTCAAAATGTTTTACTACCAGTTCTGTGTGCGTGACATAGCTTGGTGGGTGTGGCTTGGTGGGCGTGGCAGAGGAAAGATACTGCAAAACCTTTATTCCCACCCACTCCAGGGGAAGGATATAGGAAAATCTCCATTCCCTCTCCACTCCTGGGGAAAGGTTACCACCAGTTCTCTGAACCACTCAGAATTTCCGCTACCGGTTCTCCAGAACTGGTCAGAATCTGCTGAATACCACCTCTGGTGTTCAGCTAATCTTCCATCTGTTGGTCCTATGTAGTGGCTGTTGCAGTCTTCATACAATATGCTATAGATCAGTGGTTCTTAACCTTTTTGAAAGAATTGCCCCCTTGAGCCATTCATCATCATCGCCCCCCTCTCCCCCAACATAACCTCTCAATCACAACACAGGGAAATAATTCTTCAATTTATGCAAACATGTTTTTTGTTTTCTTTAAAATTGTCATCAGGACATATCAATGCAAATAATTTATTTCCAGTCTTTTCCCCATATCTCAACTGTGTGAAAAATTCTGATGCCACCCATCACTTTACTCCCAAACTTTGTGATACAAGTATTTCACTTTATCTTATTTATTTAAGACACTTAAATGGAATGACCACTGAAAATAAAATTCAATTGCAAAAAAATGAAATCCCCCCCCCCAAAACAGTAACATTTAATGATTTAATTACAAGTGAATGTTAAGATGCAAAAAGACATATGTAAAGGGCATAAGAACAAATGGCAATGTAGGAACTAAGAATTTCAAGACGAAAACTCTGAAACTAAATTAAGATTCGAGGAAAATATATATTCATGCACGCTGTAAAAAGGGTTAAAAGGACATAAAGAAAATTTTTACAGAATATTTTAAAACACAGTTCAATCCACTAATAGTGAGCGATCTGATGTTTTTGTACGACAGGTATACAGCTGTTCACTGTACGAAAAAAGTCTCAAAAGTGTCCCCAAAACTTCTCGCTCCATCGCCCCCATATCACCACCCTTCGATTCCTTCACCCCCACGTTGCCCCTTTTCGTTCCATTGCCCCCTGAAAAATGAAATCGCCCCCTGGGGGGGGCGATATCGCCCAGGTTAAGAACCACTGCTATAGATCAATGGTGGAATTCAAATTTTTTTATTACCGGTTCTGTGGGTGTGGCTTTGTGGGCATAGCAGGGGAAGGACACGGTAAAATCTCCAGTCAGAGGTGGGATTTGCCGGTTCTCTGAACTGCTTAAAATTTCTGCTACCAGTTCTCCAGAACTGGTCAGAACCTGCTGAATACTACTTCTGCTATAGATGGTTCCTGTTTTTATTTCTGGGGGTTGCTAGGCCTCTTCGTTTACTTAGGATATTTTGGGGCACTTTAGCTGATTTGTGTGCTACGCTGATTCCCTGTGTTTGTAATAATAGACTGTTGGTGGTTTCTGAGATGTTTTTGATGCATGGCAATGTTATTCTTTTTATAGCTTATGTTATTTGTGCTATATTGAGTTGAATGGTCAGGCACTTTCTAATAAAGCTGCATAACAAGTAAACAGTAAACAGTCCAACCATAGAATCTCCAAGACCATTCCCACCAAACCACTAGAGCAAATTCCAGTTCTTATTAACACTGATGAAGCTACCTAGTTTGGGTAATGAAATGTCTGCAAGGGAACAACCAATCTCAGAGAGCACCAAGAATTCCTTTGAGCTACAAATATTCTCTTTTTTGGTAAAATATAAACAAATAAAATGCAATTTAAATTACCACAGTGTATGAATTTAGTCTTTTTGTCTCTAGGCTTTAGATGAGCAACTTGTTGCCCCAGCCTAATTTAAAAATTGTTATGTAAGAGATGACTTCAGGTCTCTTGTAAGTTCTATCTCTAAGCTATTACTTAAAGAGGAAAAACAATGAGAATGAAGAAATGGGAAATGCCTGGAAGGTAACTTCTGTGCCCACTTCATTGCTTGCCTTACCACCAGCCCTCCAATAGATGATCACAAGAGAATGTGGCATTAATGCAAAATAGTTGCCAGTTGCGATTGAGTCCAATCTTTTCAAGACTGACTGACAATTGTTCTCTCCAGCAATTGGAAAGAACCCAAAAATTACTTCTTGTCAAATCTAATTGTTAAACAGAAGATGGTGGGGATTGCACTGAGGAATTTGTAAATGCAAACATGCTTTTTTCAGGGCCAGACCTTTTTTTTTTTAAAGGGAAATGAGATAGCTATTTTAGGTGGTGAATGTTGGGAGAAGCAGGGACCAGATATGAGGGTCTGTGCTATTGTCCCTGGTTGGAATGAAACATATAAGAGCCCTCAGCTTATGG